TTGGTAAGCTGAGTGAAAATACAATGTTATTAGGTATAATTCTGAATCTTTAAGATAAAAATTTAACAAAGATTTCATGATGATTCCCCAGACATGCTGATCACCCTGAGCACTACAGGACTTCCTTTCCTGGGCCTTGATGTATTTGGAAAGCCATGCAGACCATAAAGTGTCAATGATTAGATATGGCTCTTTTTATGCTTTAAAAACACTGCCTAGTACTCATGACATTCTATGAGTTTGACAATGTCATTTTATTGTCTTGGGCTTTGTAGTTTTTATTTTATAAAATGTTTTAATAAATGTATATATCTTTGAATACTTTTCATGTTTCAAATTACTGAAGATATTAATTTAAAGTTATGGGAAAATTCTCACTATTTAAAATTTTTTCTAGCTACAGCCTATGTACTGTACTAAATGACTTATGTTTTTCATGATAAAAATAATACATGTTTGGGATACCTTTAAGAAAGGAAAAGCATACAGACAAGTAGAAACTAGAAAGCATTACTCTTTATTTTTAGCCACTTCTTCTGCCCACTCAGAGAATTTCTTTCACAGTCTTCCAGAAATTGGTAAAGTGCATTTCAGATACCCTCTTTATACTGTTTGGCATAGCTATCTACATATCAAGGATCTGAATGACTGATTTGACATACTGATCTCAGATTTCATTTTTGTCAACATTCCTTTTACCATGTCCACACCATGAAATCTATGTAGCTCTGAAAGAAAGAGGGAAACTAAAATAAAATAATAGACTTAAAAGGCAACTAACCTTTTTCCACCTCATTCAGATTAGCAGCTGGCAGCAACAAAGACAGAAGAGACAAAAGACGTTTTACATTGCAGTACACAGCGGAGCACAGGAAGCCAAAGCACAGCATTAACAACAGAGAAGCCCAGGGTGAGAGAGCAAACTGAAGCAAGGCTTAGATTTCTTACCTACAGCCGGGCCAAACGTACAAACAAGGAGAAAATGAGGTAAAAGGCAGACGCCATCACAGGCAGCAAGAGATCTGTGGCTAAACTGGTGATTTAACAACAGGCAACTTTACTTTGTAAGATGTGTACATAATGGTTTGTGTGTGGGCATTGGAGATTTGGAAAACAAAGAGATAATGGTACAAAATGGAAAAATTAAAATGTTCTGAATTTTTTTCCACAAAATACATTCTAAGCCTTTACACACCCAACTTGTATGGAAACTTTCATTTACTGAATGTATGTCATCCCATTAAGCAATACCCCATGGTTAAAATGTGATCAATTTTGTATCATCTTTGTATCTGGTCCTGTGAGAAGAGGGTTAATTAAGGAACATAGTCTTGACACAGCAGATCCAGGGTTCTGGCTCTTAGGAAACATTCAAAACCACATTTTTCAATGCAATACCTGAATTCATACCACAGCTTAAGAAAACATGTCAAGTTTTTCAACATTGCAGGGGTGCCATACTTACAATGTTCACTTTTATAAGTTTTGGGCTAGTGCAATTTGAGGAATTTTTTAAAACTTTACTTTCAAGAAATGCCTTATTTTTAGAAAGGATATAATATTGATTTTAAAAGAATGACCAACCATCACCAAAAACACAATCTCTCAAACTACTATTAAAACCCTGGAGTGAATTTTTAAATTATTTGTTTAGCAATTTCAGTGTCTTATTAATCCTTAGCACAGTGATTTTAATTTAGAATCATAGTGAATTAAACTTCTCAAAAATTAATCTTGTCTGAAGAATACTAGCAATCAACAGTCATATGTTATACATAGAAAAGACGATGGATTGAATTAGGTAGAAAATAACAGTTTAGATGCTTTCAGTGGGGAGGGGATAGTAACGGTTACATAACAGAAAAACAATACTGACCCTTGAAATTTATGTTGTCAATCCTGCAGCAGGAAAGGACAGAGTTTTGTCCTATAATAAGTCAATAACTATTTACTGTGAAGTTCTGGTTACATGGGCTTAAATAAATTTAATAAATTTCCCAACAGTGGTTCATTTTATTTTGAACACATGTAGCCATGTTTTACAGCCTGCCCGTCATATCATGACCTCTCTGTCAGACTGCTTTCAGATCTTTGAATTTTCTCTATTAACATATCATATCCATTCTGATACTTAACGTGGATGCCAAAAGTAAAAACTTTCACCGTATTAATTTACAAGTTTTTCCTATGAAGTCTTATTTGTTCCTACTAAAGAGTTCATTTTCTCACTGAACGCCTCAGAGATAGAGTAAAAAAAAATCTCCAAACAGAAAAGCAACTTATAACTTGAATAATTTTTAAGCAGTGACAACATTATTATATTCTCTGAGCACAATAGGGGTTCTGTTCCAAGATCTCATGCTCATTAATCAGATTCCAAACTTAAATCAAAAACAATACAGCCACGATATAAGAAAATGCCTCCCTAACTGCAGACTTGGATGAAGCAGGATATAAAGCTCTGGAGTACAATTTATAACCTCCTATAATTAAAGGCCATTTATGTGCCACTGATTTCAAAATCTGCAGATGGTTGTTTGATATTTTGTAAATGAGCTCATTTCACATATGGACAAAAATGCTACAGCTAATAGATGATTTACAAATATGTCTGATTTAGGTATCTGCTCTAATGCCAATTTGCAAAACTCTTCACTTCCCACAAAACCCAACCCAAAGTTATAGTGATAGTATCTTCATGTCTTGTATGCTATGAACTTTCTATAGAGTGCAATGTTTATCCTTAGCCCAAATTAAGGCAAACTGATACCTGCAATAGATATGACTGAAAAAAATCGGAAGAGCCTCAATTCTTGTTGAGCACCAAACGGCTCTTGACAAATAGTCATGGCAGGTTCCCACATGATAGCTTTTATAGATGTCACGTTTTGGCTCTAAAGTGGTTGTGCTAATAAGCTTTGGAGTTTTTTGGATGTGTTTCAAAGAAAGAGATCTGACACAGGGAAATGAAGCTTCGTAATACTTTTCAGAGGAAGTTGCACTGAACTGAATCACTTTAGGAAGCAGAAAACGTGTTTCAGAAGATCAGGTGTAGGAAGGGAGCTTGGAAAACAAAGGGAGAGGAGGGAAAACAAAGACTCAAAGAAATGGATAAGGAATGAAGTAGAGCAAATCTAAAGCCAAAGGCGGACCCAACCAAACCAACTCTGAAGAGGCTGCCACCTTATGTAAATTATCATGGAAAAGGTATTAAGAATCTGAATACAGCAGTGCTGTCAGGTCTAGGTTTTCATTGGTAAGGGGATATAGAAAAATTCCTGGTTTCTGTTCTCAGGAACACATTGGCTAACCAAACTGTGCTGGAAATACTTGGATCCAATTTGTCCTGGTCAGAGTAGGTTAGTTTAAAGAGGTCTCTGACATTAAGTGAATTAAGTTCTTCCTGTAATGATCAGAACAATGACAGGATAGAGAACTGTCTCTAAGAAGGTACTAGCTACAGATTTTGGTGCAAGCATTGGGCTGCTTGTGTAAGCCTAAATTAGCCCATCCAGAAAAACTCAGATTCTCGGGGTAGCTCCAAGGGCTCGAGAATCCATGCACTCAGGCTAATGGCATGTATCTGAGGTGTGACACAAGTAAAACTCGTGTGAATGTCAAAGCTACATAACACCTAAACTCTTCCTAGCTATGTTAGAATGGGTGCATATTAGACATACTTGCTATCCTTAATTAACGCAAAATAACAAAGAATTCAAATTCTGGCCACTAAGGAGTCCAAGTGCTATATATATATAATAGAGTAACTGGTGATACATGTTAAAATTTCTACTGGAAACTCAGTATATTACTTCGTATGGCATCAGGTACTTCACTGGTGTGAAAAAAAAAAAATCATACCATAGAAAAGGCAGCTGCAGAATCTCTCAAACAGACCCGGGATATCAAAACAAAAACTCATTATTCTCTTTAGCATCTTCCCATCAAGAAAGTACCTCTTCAAATGCAAAGTTTGAGTATTCCATAAAAGCTTAAATTTCAGTGCTTTTCTAACAAATCCCTGGGAAAATTAATCATACAGATGTGCTTCCATTTTTCATGTCTAGAGATGTTAACCTCAGTCATCCAAGTAGCTATTTTACCCTCTGATATTCTTAACTATGTATATGGAAATAAATACAATTAATGCAAAATACCCAGCCAAATGAAGATGGTAACTTTGAGTAGAGTGACAGAATCTACTTCTCCATTTTTTCTTACAAATAAAATACGTAACATTCTCCTTTTCTCTACCAATTTTAAAACTAAATGGTTTATTAAGAATGTAACTATGAAGTTTCTTATTCATAGCCACAAAAATCGATCAAAATAGATATTCTGACTTAATAAGTAAGTTGTAAACTTGATGTTGACTTTATAGCAAATTGGTTTATCCAGGGCAGAAGTTTAGCAGTTTGGATAGTCTCATGAGAGTTACCACCTTTATTCCTGACATTTTGTATCAAGATAGAAAAAAAAAGGTGGGGTGGGGGGAGAATGGTCTGGTAAGATTATCCAAAGTGATCAATATCTTCCTAATGTGATCTATTTTGAAGGACATGAGTTGCCACATGCAAACACTCACTGATGAATCAACAAGTATGGACACAAAGAATCTCAAATGTTTGGTTATTTTTTGCCTATGTAAAGAAATGCTCCCTTTTCACATATGTATCGGTGGGTTGGTCTGCATAGGAAAAGTGCTTTGCATGAAAATGTCATTCAGTTGTGGGACTAAAAGCTTCAGTATGATAACTTCCTTTGTGCTGCAAAGTATTACTTTATGATGGATGCTTGTGTTCTAACTGAGCTCCCCAGGACTTTTATTTGGTTGCTGAAACCATCTTTAACTCTGTCTGTTATTACATTACACCTAATTTCCAAAACAGCTATCAGTTATTGAATAATACAATGGTCTACTAAACACATGCAGCATAGTGCCAGTGGTGCTTTCAAACAGATACACAGATTGATGGAATAGCATTTCCTAGTCTTCCTACCTGTGTACTCAGGTGGGCAAAGGCATGTGTAGTTATTAATTCCATCGACGCATGTAGAGTTATTTTCACAGTCATTATCTTCACAGTCATCAACATTGATTTCACAATTTTCTCCTTCAAATCCATCAGCACAAATACACCTGAACGCCAGGGGAAGAAAAGACAAAAGACACTTTCTTATATTTCCAAACCATATGGTCTAAATATTGAAAAAAACTAAATACACTCATCAATTACAGAGCTTTTAACAACAAGAAATTGATTTTTTAAATGCTTTTAAATGACACGTTGTAAGCATCAATTTAAGGTAATATCCCCCAAATCAGAAACAATTTGAGAAAGAAAATTTATGCTGGCTGCAAGATGGCAAATGGCCCCATGGTCCTATAAGTCAATAAATCCAAAACATTTGCAGGTCTAAAAAATGAGAAAAGCTTACTCTACAACCCTAGATATCTTAATCTCTAGTTGTGCTCTAATAAAATAACTCATGCTTCTTTGCTCATAAATGAGGAGGAATGATTCTGATTTTTTTTTTTACATTACACTTACTAACCTATGTGTAATGTTCTTGCTGTCTCAAAGCAAAAAAGAAATCTGAAAATAAAACTTTGTCTTCCTTGCAATTATAAAATATGAATATTCTCTTTAACTCTCAACAAATACAATTTTTCACTGGCATAATACATTGTACCTTTCATCTTGCTAGGCATCAGAATAATCTTTGAGTAAAGGCTTGATGAAAAAGAGACAACTTCATAACAGAATGCAGAAATGAAGTGTATGTATTATAAAAAGTGGTATTTCTAACAAGCTTTAGTAGTAGATTAGCATTCTTATGCGAAGTTATTAGTTTTCATTGTAAGAACTCTGTTTCATGATTCATGAAGTAGATCTGAAGTAACTGTACTGTATGATTAAATAACTCCCGATTAAAAATGTTCACAGCATGTTTGTCTACACATATTGTGGCTTGGAAATGAGTCATTACTTTTCTGTTTCAATGGGACCCACATCTTATCATTACACACAGTCTGTTAAAGCAACACACAAAACAACAGATGGATATATGCCTTGCAGTAGGGGACTATTTGACTATTAATTAGCTTAACAGAGCCACTAATTTGTCTTGACCTAATCTGATTTGATTAGTTCCAATGTACGCATGTGAGTGTTTTTAAATTGCTTGGCTTTGTAGCATCCTGAGCTGAGAATACTGTAATGTCTCAATTTGCTTTTATATTGAAATATCTCTGCAAGTGACTAATACATATTTTCCTTATGAACAGAATTTCTGGTACTCTTTTTAAAATAAAGCCCTTGGATTTAAAAAGGAAAAATGAATCTTTGCTTATTCTTGCTCCAATACGTCAGACACAGAAGATCACAGACGAATGACCTACCAGAAGCCATCTTTTTCTCCTTCTTTTAAGTGGCAAGTTCCTCCATGTTTACATGGGTTACTGATGCATGCATGAATTGGAACATCACAGTCCTGCCCCTGGACAAGGAATGGTCAAGTTGAGTTTAAATAAAGTAGTTCTCAGCACATAGAGAAAGAACAACAGAATAATAAAGACCCACCAAGGAAAGCTACGTTTTTAGATCTTGGTTCCCACAATAGCTTCTACTTACCTTGAAACCATATGGACAGGTGCAGCGATAAAAGTCAACTGGATCATTGTTACAGGTGCCATCATTTTTACATGGATTTGATAAGCAGGGATTACATTTAGCTAGAATATTGACATCTACAGGACCTAAAAATTGATTGAAAAATATGAGAAGTGGATGCTTTCTGTTTTCAGTTCACTTAAAATTATTTCAATGCCTTAATGTAACAGTACATTTTGTATAAAATTATTATTGGTCACATATCCATATGTGTTTCTCTTCCATGACAAAACCAGAAATCAGCATCATCATAATTATCTTTAAGAATGCAACAGGAGACCATCTCATTGGGAGTTAATAGTGAAACTCTCTCATGTCAGAGTAGGGCTCTGAGTTGTGAGCTTAGGTAGTTAAGATCTGATATTAGTGATGCCAGCATCAAAGGGTCAGTCCCCTCATTAGCTGACTAGCTTATGTGGATGCTTTCCATGGCCAGTGCCTGAAACTTAACTCAGGCGGCTGGTATGGAAAGCCATGGATGCCAAAGAGGACTGTGGGTGTGTGTGCTGGGGGATGGGTGGGCAAGGTTTTGAATAAGTACAAATTCAGGAGACCTTCAAGATGGTGGAGGAGTAAGACGTGGAGCTCACCTTCCTCCCCACAAATACATCAGAAATACATCTACATGTGGAACAACTCCTACAAAACCTACTGAATGCTGGCAGAAGACCTCAGACTTCCCAAAAGATATATATTTTTTCTTCCTTTTTACTTTTTGTGAGTGTGTATGTGTATGCTTCTTTGTGTGATTAAGTCTGTATAGCTTTGCTTTTACCATTTGTCCTAGTGTTCTGTCTGTCCATTTTTTTTTTAGTATAGTTTATAGTGCTTGTTACCATTGATGGATTTGTTATTTGGTTTGGTTGCTCTCTTCTGTCTTTCTTTCATTACTTTTAATTTTATTTTTAATATTTTTTTCATTTTTTATTTTAATAACTATTTCCTTCCTTCCTTCCTTCCTTCCTTCCTTCCTTCCTTCCTTCCATCCATCCATCCTTTTTTTCCCCTTATCTTCTGAGCCATGTGGCTGACAGGGTCTTGGTGCTCCAGGCAGGTGTCAGCCTTGTGCCTCTGAGGTGGGAGAGCCAAGTTCAGAACACTGGTCCACCAGAGACCTCCTGGCTCCACGTAATATCAAATGGTGAAAGCTCTCCCGAAGATGTCCATCTCAATGGAAAGACCCAGTTCCACTCAATGACCAGCAAGCTACAGTGCTGGACACCCCATGCTAAACAACTAGCAAGACAGGGACACAGTCCCACCCATTACCAGAGAGGCTGCCTAAAATAATAATAAGGTCACAGACACCACAAAACACACCACCGGATGCAGTCCTGCCCACCAGAAAGACAAGATCCAGCCTCATCCACCAGAACACAGGCAATAGTCCCCTCCACCAGGAAGCCTACACAAGCCACTGAACCAACCTTAGCCACTGGGGGGCAGACACCACAAACAATGGGAACTACGAATCTGCACCCTGCGAAAAGGAGACCCCCAAACACAGTAAGTTAAGCAAAATAAGAAGATAGAGAAACACACAGCAGATGAAAGAGCAAGGTTAAAACCCACCAGTCCAAACAAATGAAGGGGAAATAGGCAGTCTACCTGAAAAAGAATTCAGAGTAATGATACTAAAGATGATCCAAAATCTTGGAAATAGAAGGAAAAAATACAAGAAACATTTAACAAGGACCGAGAAGAACTAAAGGGCAAACAAACAATGATGAACAAAACAATAAATGAAGTTAAAAATTCTCTAGAAGGAATCAATGGCAGAATAACTGAGGCAGAAGAACAGAAAACTGACCTGGAAGATAAAATAGGGGATATAACTACCACAGAGCAGAATAAAGAAAAAAAGAATGAAAAGAATTGAGGACAGTCTCAGAGACATCTGGGACAACATTAAAAACACCAACATTCAAATTATAGGAGTCCCAGAAGAAGAGAAAAAGAAAAGGACTTGAGAAAATATTTGAAGAGATTATACTTAAAAACTTCCCTAATATGGGAAAGGAAATACTCAGTCAAGTTCAGGAAGTGCAGAGAGTCCCATACAGGATAAATCCAAGGAGAAACACATGAAGACACATATTAATCAAAATATTAAAAATTAAATACAAAGAAAAAATATTAAAAGCAGCGAGGGAAAAGCAACAAATAACACACAAGGGAATCCACATAAGGTTAACAGCTGACCTTTCAGCAGAAACTCTGCAAGCCAGAAGGGTATGGCAGGACATATTTAAAGTGATGAAAGGGTAAAACCCACAATCAAGATTACTCTATACCAGCAAGGCTCTCATTCAGATTCAACGGAGAAATTAAAACCTTTAGAGACAAACAAAAGTTAAGAGAATTCAGCACCACCAAACCAGCTTTACAACAAATGCTAAAGGAACTTCTCTAGACAGGAAACAGAAGGGAAGGAGTTCCTACAATAACAAACCCAAAACAATTAAGAAAATGGTAATAGGAACATAAATATCGATAATTACCTTAAATGTAAATGGATTAAATGCTCCAACCAAAAGACACAGACTGGCTCAATGGATACAAAAACAAGACCCATATACAGGCTGTCTACAAGACACCCACTTGAGACCTAGGGACACATACAGACTGAAAGTGAGGGGACAGAAAAAGATATTCCATGCAAATGGAAATCAAAAGAAGCTGGAGTAGAAATTCTCATATCAGACAAAATAGACTTTAAAATAAAGACTATTACAAGAGACAATGAAGGACACTACATAATGATCAAGGGATCAATCCAAGAAGAAGATATAACAATTGTAAATATACATGCACCCAACATAGGAACACCTCAATACTTAAGGCAAATGCTAACAGCTATAAAACAGGAAATCAACAGTAATACAATAATAGTGGGGGACTTTAACACCTCACTTACACCAATGCACAGATCATCCAAAAAGAAAATAAATAATGAAACACAAGCTTTAAATGACACAATAGACCAGATAGATTTAATTGAAATTTATAGGACATTCCATCCCAAAACAACAGAATACATTTTCTTCTCAAGTGCTCATGGAACATTTTCCATGATAGATCATATCTTGGGTCACAAATCAAGCCTTGGTAAATTTAAGAAAATTGAAATTGTATCAAGTTTCTGTTCTGACCACAACGCTATGAGACTAGATATCAATTACAGGAAAAAAAATCTGTAAAAAATACAAACACATGGAGGCTAAACAATACACTACTAAATAACCAAGAGATGATTGAAGAAATCAAAGAGGAAATCAAAAAATACCTAGAAACAAATGACAATGAAAACACCACGACCCAAAACCTGTGGGATGCAGCAAAAGCAGTTCTACGAGGGAAGTTTATAGCTATACAATCCTACCTCAAGAAACAAGAAACATCTCAAATAAACAACCTAACCTTACCCCTAAAGCAATTAGAGAAAGAAGAACAAAAAAACCCCAGAGTTAGCAGAAGGAAAGAAATCATAAAGATCAGATCAGAAATAAATGAAAAAGAAATGAAGGAAATGATAGTAAAGATCAATAAAACTAAAAGCTGGTTCTTTGAGAAGATAAACAAAATTGATAAACCATTAGCCATTTTCATCAAGAAAAAAAGGGAGAAAACTCGAATCAGTAGAGTTACAAATGAAAAAGGAGAAGTAACAACTGACACTGCAGAAATACAAAGGATCATGAGAGATTACTGCAAGCAACTATATGCCAATAAAATCGATAACCTGGAAGAAATGGACAAATTCTTAGAAAAACACAACCTTGTGAGACTGAACCAGGAAGAAATAGAAAATATAAACAGACCAATCACAAGCACTGAAATTGAGACTTGGATTAAAAATCTTTCAACAAACAAAAGCCCAGGACCAGATGGCTTCACAGGAGAATTCTATCAAACCTTAAGAGAAGAACTAACAGCTACCCTTCTCAAACTCTTCCAAAATATTGCAGAGGGAGGAATACTCCAAAACTCATTCTACAAGGCCACCATCACCCTGATACCAAAACCAGAAAAAGATGTCACAACGAAAGAAAACTACAGGCCAATATCACTGATTAACAGTGATGCAAAAATCGTCAACAAAATACTAGCAAACAGAATTCAACAGCACATTAAAAGGATCATACACCATGATCAAGTGGGGTTTGTCACAGGAATGCAATGATTCTTCAATCTATGCAAATCAATCAACGTGATACACCATTTTAACAAATGGAAGGAGAAAAACCATATGATCATCTCAATAGATGTAGAAAAAGCTTTCAACATATTCAACACCCGTTTATGATAAAAACCCTCCAGAAAGTAGGCATAGAGGGAACTTACCTCAACATAATAAAGGCCATATATGACAAACCCACAGCCAACATCATTCTCAAGGGTGAAAACTGAAACCATTTCCTCTAAGATCAGGAAGTCTTGTTCCTCTCTCACCACTACTACTGGTTGTCCACGCTCACCACTATTTTCAACATAGTTTTGGAAGTTTTAGCCACAGCAATCAGAGAAGAAAAAGAAATAAAAGGAATCCAAATTGGAAAAGAAGAAGTAAAACTGTCACTGTTTGTAGATGACATGATACTATACATAGAGAATCCTAAAGATGCTACCAGAAAACTACTAGAGCTAATCAATGAATTTGGTAAAGTAGCAGGATACAAAATTAATGCACAGAAATCTCTGGCATTCCTACACACTAATAATGAAAAATCTGAAAGAGAAATTAGGGGAACACTCCTATTTACCACTGCAACAAGAAGAATAAGTTACCTAGGAATAAACCTACCTAAGGAGACAAAAGACCTGTATGCAGGAAACTATAAGACACTGATGAAAGAAATTTAAGATGATACAAACACATGGAGAGATATACCATGCTCTTGGATTGGAAGAATCAACATTGTGAAAATGACTCTACTATCCAAAGCAATTTACAGATTCAGTGCAATCCCTATCAAACTACCACTGGCAATTTTCACAGAACTAGAACAAAAAATTTCACAATATGCATGGAAACACAAAGACCCGAATAGCCAATGCAATCTTGAGAAAGAAAAATGGAGCTAGA